CCCCAAAACCCCAAAACCCCCAAACCCCAAAACCCCACCATAAGGTTTAAAATGAGATAAATTAAATAGTATTATTTAAAACACAGCCAAACAATGGAAGCACTTAAGGAAAATAAGGAAAAGGCCATCATAGCAGCTGTTGGCGCTTTCGCAATTGCTGGTAGGATATCATCCTTTTATTTCGGAATTCAGCTCCTTTTCTATGAACCAAAAGCTCTATTTCATCGAATTTTGAGCAAAATTGTGAGCGAATAACATATTCTAGGTTTTTACTATTGGAGACAAACCACTAAGCCTGTGAAAATGAGAGTTAAACAAAGGTAAAAAGACCTTTTCCTAAGGATTTTATGACTTTAACGGTCTATAAAATACTACTGTCTTTAGATTTTTGGAATTTGACGTCACCAATAAGAAACCAATCATTCTTAGCCTTAAATCCAATAATATAAAACTTATTGTCGGAAAACCAACACATAATTCTCATTTCGAATAGATCACAAGAAAAGAAGAAGAAAGATCGTGGAAAATTCACCAAACCTAAGAAAACAAAGGAGGCTGATGGAGAAACTTCAGGTAAAGAGACCTTCTTCAATGCATTTGCTTCATATTTTGATGAACCGAAACCAACCTGTATCTGAAAGATTATCCCAACTTGATGCTCAGCTTATTCTAATTTGAGAGAAAGTAGCTTTAAATAGTTTATTCTCTAAGGTGAATGAAGCATTATTCAAAGCTGCACTAATCCATAAGGCATAAACCAACCATATATAGTTATAAGTGATGCTGATCTTTCAATAGAGCCTTGAGCATTTTGGTTATTTTTATTCAAGATCTCAATGACTTTTGGGTTTCAAAATCACATTCACAACCTTAATTGTCTTTTACTTTTTTGGAAAATTAAGTTTGACAAGTTAAAACTAATTTTAAATCTTTGTCTAATTTCTCTTCTAGCTTGCGACTTAAGATCTGAATACAGAAGGTAAGTTCATCAAGAGATCTTCATGGATGTTCTTGGAAAATAATCAATTACTCTTTATTCTTGAGGAAAAATTTGGAATTTTTTGAATATTTTCAAACCCAAAAGCTTGGAAATTATCGAGACATTCCTTTTAGTAGGTAGAGGCATGGGAGCTACACTCCAAGATAAGATCGTAACTACTTCATACTAAAATATGAATATAGCTTATATATTGCCTTTCTGAATACTTCAAATATTCAAAAAGCATACAATTTTCTTGAAGAGAACCTTTTTTCACTGAACCTAGACTTTTTTCTTAAACCCTATACTTCCCAGCCTCTTTCTCATCAAATATATTTGGTTTACTTCTATTCACCGTATTCCTTCTGCTCATCTACAACACTATTGCCCTTTCCAAATGAAACCATGCTATCATGGGTAACAAAGGCCGGCCTCTGTTAAGGCTTCCCCTTAGCACCTACTTGTTCCTCTCATTAAAATATTTCTTAGAGGACTTGGAGGATGGTTTAGAAGCTATAGTAGGACAGCCTAGCCTAGTTTAGATCATTTTAGGAGTTTTGTGTTTAAGATTTTTAAGTTTTGGGTGGTGGAGGCTGCCTCTTCTTAAATTCTCACGAACGAAATCAGTGGGAGTTGTTGGGATTAAGAGAAGAGGCTGGATTTTATGGGATTTTGTGAAAGCGATTGGTAGGGGAGATGGAATTTTGGATAAGAAAATGGTGGCATGGCTTGATTGGTGCTGAAATAAGAAAGTATGAAGGGTTTGGAAGGGGTTTAAGGAGCTATGATAGGTTTAATGGGATGTACACTTTGTAGCAGGCAAATAGGTTATCAAGGAATAGCATATTTCATTAGTACCAACATCTAGAGGTCAAATTAGATCTATTTTATGATTTTGTCAGACCCTAGTTTTGCTTATATGATCAACTTTGACTTTAACTTTATTAAGGACTGGCAACTGAAATTCAGAGTTTAACAAGCCAAAAAAAACAAGGAAAATAGGTGGAAGGTAAGACAAACTTGTAATATTCATTGTTGAAAGAGCCTTAACTGGGAAACTTGAGAAATCCTTAGGAGTTAATAGTGGCCTGGTTTGGCCAAGGTAGATATCTCGTGATTACACTTTATGATGCAGTTAAACCCTCAATCAGTACATATCTGCTAAAAAGTTAGTTTAATCAATGAGCTTTAATATTAATGGTTTATTAATTGTTATAACAACTGTGTTAGAATTCCTAAGCATAAGATGGCTGGAGGGAATGTGTCAGAATCTGACTTTGATTATCAAGATTCAGATAACGAGGTGAGGTTCATGTTGTGATTGTATAGCAATGCCAGAATAGAAAGAAGAAGTAAGACAAAAAGTTTTAAGATCTTCATTTTTGATAGGCTTCATAAAGGATATCAACAGAAAATACAAAGTCATTAAAAGCCATAAATTTGTCCTCTCAACGAGGGTCCATCTAAAAGGGGTTTTGGGGTTTTGGGGTTTTGGGGTTTTGGGG